TGTTCTATGCCTCCTTATATCAAAGAAAAATGTGAAGCTGGTGGCCAGCCTGATGGTGGAGAGGTGTGTTTTTGGCCAGCTTCACTTGAGAATAAGCTCAGTCACTATACTCAGCCAAATTTCCCTCTCTGTAAGATGAAATATTAATCCTTATTTGTTACAGTTTTGCATGTAAGAATTGCATATAAAGTAAGTCATATGCCAGACCAGTAGTTTTCAAAATGTGGTCCCCAGAATAGCAGCAGCAACAGAATCGCCTGGGAATTCCTTAAAATTCTTCAGCCTCACCCTAAACCTACTAAATCTGAAACTCCTTGGTAGGGCCAATCTGTTTTGTTTTGTTTTCACAAACCTTTCAAGTACTTTTGATGCACAAAGTTTTAAGAGTTAGGTCACAGTGTGGTAAAAATAAAAATTGAAATCCCCCCGAGGACATTTATACTTACAAGCATCTTGGAATGTCTATCATTTACACATTTAAAAGGCATAAACTAGCAGTAACATTGGGAGTTCATTTTAATAAAAACCTGCTGATGGGCAGAAGCAGGAAGAGAAAACCTAAGTGCTCAAGACCACCCTGTAGGCCCACAAAACAGAACATGCAATAGGAATCGTCACCAGATCAGGGAGGAAAAGTCTTTGCTTAGCAAATTCCCCTCAACTCCAAGAGTATCCTCAGGCATCCACTTGGCCAAGCATGTTCCCAGACTCTCAAAAGTAACTCTCTGGTCTTATCTTAGTATACACACTTTGCCTGTTGACTATTATTTGCCTTCTTTTGCTCTGCTTCTTCCTTGGGAAAGATGCTCTATGGGGCAAGTACCAGTGGTCTTTTTTATCAACTTCCTGGGTTCTGAGCAGCCACTTCCCCTCTGATTCTAGAAAAAGGGCAGGTTGCTGTGTGGGCAGGGCCAGGGAATAGCTCTCATTGCCACCATGTGCTTCCCTCCACCCCCAACAACAAGGAGACTCCTGGGAGGGGAGCTTGAGATCCACTTCCTCCTTGAGTTGTAGCTCTGCTCTAATTGTTGGGTTTTGTGACTGTTAGACCTATGGCTTCTTGGACATCAAGACTAACCTGTGTTACCCTCCTGTGTGGACCTTCCCAGAGTGTGAAGGTGTGCCTCATTTCTTCTCCACCTTCTCTTAAAAAGAGACTCCCCAGTCCTATGACCCTCACTTTAATTTGGGACTTCGCTGACCTCCCGGGTGCCCCACCACCTCCCAGAAAGGCCTTCTGCCCACTTCAAGCCAAGATCTTCCTGTTGTGAGTCCTGGTTCTGGAGTTGGGAAAGGATGGGAAAGATTTGAAAGTTTTGAAAATAACTGCTTTCAGAAGAACTGGGGAAGGAGGTTTTCTGATGACAAATGATTCTAGGAATGGAAAAGGCAGAGGAGTCATGTGATCAGTTTAGGTAAAATGAACCAGAGGAAGATAGAAAAAGCCAAGGAAATACCGCTCCCTCCATTTTCTTTGAGAAAATTTCCTTCTTTTAAGCGTTTAAAAGCTCCTCCTTTTTTTTGTGACTAATGGAAGAGCAATCTTTCCTTGAAGTCAACTTATTTGGGGGTTCTTGTCCTCCCCTCAGTTTTCTATTTCTTCTTCCTTAATTTCTTCAGAGCAAATTTAAGGCCTTTGTTCCTTTAGGAATGCTCACATTTTGTTTTCTTTGCAGCACTTTGAATATTTTTTCCACATGCTATGCAATCCACTTATATTAATAAGTTTGAAAAATAGGACACAAATATTATTTTAAAAGAAAAATAACTGTTAAAGTTCAGGAGCTGCAGACAGGGAAGAATTAGTTTACCATAGTATGTCTTTTTTTTTTTAATATACTTTTATTTATTTATTTATTTATTTTTATGTGGTGCTGAGGCTCCAACGCACCTCACACATGCTAGGCGAGAGCTCTACTGCTGAGCTACAACCCCAGCCCCTACCATACTATGTCTTAGTCCATTTTCTCTTGATATAACAAAATACCCAATGCTGAATAATTTATAAAGAATGGATTTGTTTATTTTGTCTCGCAGTTCTGAACTCTGGGAAGTTCAAGAACATGGCACTGCTGAGGGGCTCATGGTGGAAAGTGAAAGAGTAAGCTGCTACATGTGAAAGAGAGAGAAAACCTGCTGTCTCGATTAATTAATTAATCCAGCACTCAGGAAGAGTAAGAGTTCACTCATGTGAAAAAGGCATTAATCCACTCATGAGGGTTTTGTCCCTGTGAACACCTTTTAAAGTCTTCCCCCAACTCCGAATACCATTACATTAACAATCAAACTTCAACATGAGTCTTTAGGGAGCAAATCACATTAAAACCAGAACATATTCTTTTAATATTGTAAGATTTAGGGTGCCTTCTTCAACCTTATCAAACTACAGACACTGGTGTTATTTTTGACATATGAAAAGAGACATCGTACTTGTATCTTAAGGATTTTAAAGAAAACTGGCTCATGGAGAAAGGACTCATTTAGGAAAGAAACATATGAAGATGACCATATATAAGCAACTAGTGAATTTAGAGAAAGTAGCAGTTGTATCTAAAAGCTTATAAACTGCCAAAATAATAATTTTCAACAAAAGGCAAACTTGTAGTCTGGTCCTTGTTTACTGGAAAATCCTATTTTAAGATTCTAAAACATTAGATGAAGAGGATTTTACCCTCTTCTAGATAATTGCAGCCTTTATATACTAAACCCCAAATCCAGGGTTTTTCTGTGAAAAAAATAACTTTAAAAAATAGTTTGCAAAAAATAAGTGTAAACAGCAATTTTTATTTATTGTTTTGAGGGTTGAAGGAAGCAACATATAACAAAGTGGGAGAGGGAAATATTTCCTAATCATCCAATAAGGGAAATTGGAAAGAAGAATTTTACATAGTGAAACTTTGGGTTGATTTAAGTTGGAGTTATCTGTCACGAGCCAGTCATGGACTGTGGGCATGAACTATGTGCATTTGAACGTATGAGGGGACTGGACTGATGTTACTGTCTGATTGGGCTGTGCAATGTAAGTGTGCCTTTTCTCTCACTCTGCCTTTGATCCTACACAGCACTTGAGATGGGTGTGGCTTTCCAAGATGTAAGTCAATCTGCTGACCACAAGACATCACCAAGCAAGACTCCACTCTTTGAAATTCAATTCCTTGCCTTATTTGGGTGGAATTTTCTCGAATGTCTTTTCCCCAGTAAAGAGAAGGTTTTGGGTGTGCTCACTCTCTCTCTTGCTCCTTCCAGCACTGGAGCTGACCATTGGGGTCACTGAGCCAAGCCATCCTGCCTTAGAAATTTATGTTAGAAACTTATGTTTATGTGCCATGTGGTTTCTTCGTCATTTTCTTAGTTACTGATACAGCCAGCTGCTTTGAACCCAACTCATACTGCCAGCCTGGCCAGCTGGTGATAGTTATCATTTAAGGTACTGGACCATTGCATCTTCTATTTTAGAAGAGCAATCTGGTTTTTGAGGGACAGAGCTGCCTAAGGTGGTGATGAGAGTGAGAGTTGAAATATGTGGGATTTTTTTCAGGTCTTGCCATCATTTTACAAAAAGAGGTCAGATCCAAAGATATAAGGAATTTAACAATGTCATTTGGCTGCTAAAGAGCTAGGATAAATATCCAAGTTTTCCACCTCCATGTCCAATTTTTTTTCTTTTTTAAAAGATATACACACAACAAGGGAGGAGAGGGAAGAATAGAAGTTCATTGGACTAGACACAGGGGAATAAAGTTAAAGGAGAGGATGAGAATAGGAAAGACAGTGGAACGCATCAGACAGAACTCTCCTATGTACTAGATGAATACGCCACCAGTGAAATGCCACATCATGTACAACCACAAAATGGGATCCTGATTAGAATAAGTTATACTCCATGTATGTATGACATGTCAAAACACACCTAATGTATATCTAAAAAATAAATAAACAATAAATAAAAATATTATGCTACATATTACCCTGAAATAGCAAATTAACTTTCAGAAAAAATCTATATAAAATTGCAAAAGTTAACTGTGAAGATTATGGTAATTAAGGAGCAGTGAATCATTTGACTAAAAGAGTTTGGGAAATTTTCAGGTCAAGCTCAGCTTAGCAGAAACTTGAACAAGCAACAGGGCTTCTCTGGGCAGAAAAAAGGGCAGGGGTAACCTAAGAAGAAGGATGAGAGGCAGAAAAGTATAAAGTATTGTTCATTAGACCAGTAATCTCAGTTGACTTGAAATCTGGATTATTCCATTTCAACTGAATGAGGCATCAGGCATTTAAGCTTCCCTGATGTGGGAATCAAGTGTTCATTGTAGAAAGACTACAGTGCTGTGGGGGTTTTGTTTGGTTTTGTTTTTATTTTACTTCAAGCTTTTGTGCAGATTTCTTGGAAGAGTCAGCGAGCCATGACTGTAGAATCTAAATGGTGGACCTAAAAGTGTGATTTCTAGGCCAAATTGTGGGTCACCACATTTATTCTTTACAGTCATTGAATTGCTTTTTTTTTTTTGGATGTGGGTAGATGGTGTTCAGTGCCTCAGAAATACAAATGGACTTCAGAAAGCAGTGGAGAGCAATAAGAATGAACCCAGGGACTATATGGGGACTGTTTAGGGGTAGACAGATGCTATTAAGATGTGGGTTGGTTTGGACCTAGAAGAAAGTGGCGTCTGGTTGTGGGTGTTTTTTCGTTTGAACCCAGGGGCGCTTTACCACATCCCCAGCTCTTTTTAAAAAATACTTTATTTAGAGAAAGGGTCTCACTGAGTTGCTTAGGGCTTCACTAAACTGCTGAGGCTGGCTTTGAACATGTGATCCTCCTGCCTCAGCCTCCCAAACCACCTCTCTGGTCGGTGATTGTTAAAAGGCTCCTACCTGGGTGGGATGTGCCAGCCTTCTGATTAGGACCTGAAAAGCTGGGCCCGGCCTGCCTTTGTGACGTGGTCCACCCAGCCCCAGCCCATAGGTCATGTCTTGGCAGATGTGGTCCAAAGCCTGCTCAAAGCCAGCGGCCCCGCGGAGGGGCAAGCGGGGCCATGGCCGAGGCGGCCCAGCCCAGTGGACAGTCCCAAGGCTCTGCAGTCAAAGCTCAGCAGCCCAAGGAAAGGGTCACATCTGGACCTACGAGGCGGGGCCCGCGCTCTGTGCTCAAAGTGTCCCAGCTGCTGCTCCGGGCCATCACGTCGCACAAGGGGCTGACTCTGGCTGTTCTCAAGAAGGAGCTCGGAAACGCTGGCTACGAAGTGCGCAGGAAGATTGGCCGCCCCTCCAGAGAAACCTCCAATTCTGAGGTTAAGGGCACGCTCCTGCGGGTCAGTGGCAGCGACGCCGCCGGCTACTTCAGGGTCTGGAAGATTCCGAAGCCCAAGAGAAAGTTGGGGCGCCCTAGGATGGAGGAGTACGGCCATTCCCCCAGGAGGATCCCACCCGGGTCCCGGAACTCGCGGAGGCGCCCCACGCGTCGCAAACAGGCGAGGAAAACCAGGGAAGCCTGGAGACCCAGGAGGGTAACGGCGAAAGCGAGAAGGGGGAGGCAAAAGACCAAGGAGCCGGTGCGTGCCAGATCCAAGGAAGAAGCGGGGGTCAAGGTGATGGACGAGGGGAGAGGGCGGACCCTGAAGGAGGACATCAGGCCTAGGTCACGAGAAGAGAAGAGGCCAAGCTCTAAGGTCAGAGTAGAGAGGCAGCAGGAATCCGAGAAACTGGGAAAACGGACCATCCAGAAGCCAACCGCGGTTAAAACCGACCGTACTTTTACCCGGCAGGGGAAGACGGGCATGAAGACCTGTAGTAAATCCGAAGGCCTTCGGGTTGTAACCGGGAATCCTTAATGTAGGGACGCCCTCATTTCCTACAGGCTCTAATGCCTTTCCCCGTAGGCTCCAAGGAGAGCACCTCGCACTCTTAATGAACCTATTTACAAGACCTTCCCGCCTCTTTGTGTCTGTTTGCTCTTAGCCGCACCTGAAAGGGTGGATGTTAAGGTGAGACCTCTAGTGGGCACGTGAGATAAAGAGAGAGAAATTAGAGAGACTCTGACCTGTTGCAGGACCCAGAGAAGTCTCTTTTAGAAGGAAAGAAAAGAAGTAGAGGAAAGCCACCAGCTTAAAAGGGGTTAGTTAGGAGTGCTGAGTTAATGATAGAAACACTAGCAAATCCAAAATGAGTTTGGGGAAGGAGGGCATGTTGCCAGAAGTGTAGACAACCTTGATCCAAAGTGTTCTTACCTGAAAAAGTATTTTAAGACAAAATCCCTTCTGCCAAAATCGATTGCAATGAGTTTGTAGTTGTTGCCCTGAAGTGATATCCTATTTGAATTTGAAAGTATGTCTTACATGCGAATCCTCAATTAAATGAGATGGTGTGTGAAAGCATCCTGCATAGGGCTTGGCAAGGGCAGGGTGCTCATGGCTGAGGATTTAATATGTTTATAAGTAATTCCTGATGAGATTGTAATGTGCTATAGCCGAAAACTACACTGAATCAGTACTTAGTGAGACCAGGATTCTAGTCACAGTTCTCCCATTCAGACCTTAACTGCATTATTACATAAGCATTTGTGTGGTTTTACACCCCTCTGCAAAATGTTGGGATTATGCTAGGATGATTTGAGGTGATTTAAAGTGTCAGTAAAATGATAAAGGGAACTTGATCATCATTATATATGATTTGCTTGACAAAATTCAACAATAAGGGAGGTATCAAGTGGGCAAGTGCTAACTGCTAGAGAAGAAACCATTAAGATTTATAGAATGCATATCAGAAGTACAGGAGATAGGGAAGGCTAGATAGTGAATATCTAGTCCTTTTGCTTTTCATAAACTACATAGATGTTTTGAGCACTATGTACCAAGTGTGGAGCAAATGTATGATTTCTTTTAGTTCTAAGGCAGGGGTAAAGAACAGCAGGGGAGTAATTCTCATGTCATAAGCTGTGACAGGTCACAGAAGTGGTTTCTAGGGAAGTAAAACATACTGATTTAGGGAAAGGACTAGCTGTTTCCAACTGAAGCCAAAGCAGTATGGAAAATGAACACTCCTGAGAAGTGCTTCCTTTTTATTCTTGAAAAGAGGTGGGTGGAGATATTTGAACCACCTAGAAGTTTTCCCCAGGACAATGTATCTTCTATAAGGGGTGATGTGTGTTTCAAACAAACAAAGTGATGCTACTCTTAGCCCTCTCACACCCTTGAGAATCACAGCCTTAAGCCTGTGCAAAGCCAAATAACAGCAAACTGTTTGAAATGTATCTCATCTAGAGATGTTCTGAACCTGGAAATTTCCGGATGCTCAAATTAAGGTTACTATGCACTTGACTGTCTATGAGTGGCAGAATGAAACAAACAGAATCAGAAAATGAAGAGCCATCTGGGAAGAGGCAGTGAGAAAATCAAACATTGTCTATTGAACACAATTAGAACAAAGTTAATCAATGCCCTTATAGTAGGATGAATTGCCCCCTTTGAGTCCAGGGATGTTTTTACCTAAAGAACAAGGTGGTCTACAATTAGCTTTTCCTATTAAGATGAATGGGATTGACACTGGGAACACCTTGTTTTCTAGATTTTCTAGGAATCATCACATTTGTCTTTGTATTATGTCTTCGTATTATTTGTATTATGGTTTCTTCATTTAAGCAGACTTCCATTCATTTAGTAGAACTTATCAAATTAATGAAAATAGTTACCTTATATAGGACCAGAGTTCCCAGACCCTGATCTTATGTTGCTAACAATGGTCATTTTAGTTTATTTTTCATTGACCAACTCTAGAATGGCTATATTCCAACAAAATATGAAAAAACACCTTACCTCAATAGCAAGCTATCCAGATTATCTAGATCCTGATGAGAGCTGGGTACTCTGTGAATGAATCCCTAGAATAGCTAATTCTATTCCTAGTGTTCAGTCATGAATCCAAGATTCTGGAACCAGTGCTGGGAATACTAAAATGGATAAAACATATTCCCCACTTTTCTTTTTTTTTTTTTTTACAATTTTTCTAATATTTATTTTTTAGTTTTCGGCAGACATAACATCTTTGTTTGTATGTGGTGCTGAGGATCGAACCCAGGCCGCACGCATGCCAGGCGAGCGCGTACCGCTTGAGCCATATCGCCAGCCCCCCCACTTTTCTTTGTGCTTATATTTGAATGGAGTATTTGGATGTTTTAATTAGAGCAAATGGAATGTCCCTGACTGCAATTCTTTGTTTTCCTTTAACCTCAACTGCCTAGTGCTGTACCAGATAACTGTTGGACTTCAGAGCTGTAACAAATCTTAGATACTCTTAAGCATCAGATATTCAATGGTTGTTCAAAAACAGTTAACAGAAATATATATGCCCTTTAAAAATACAAAAAAATCCAAGTTAACTCATAAGAAAAGTGCAAATTAATAAGATAGTGTTTTTAATCATATGGACAAAAATCCGAATGTTTGCGAATAGAGTCCATTGGTGACTGGGAAAACATATTCATTACTGGTGGAAGTACAAATTGTTGCAACCCCTAATGGAAGGAAATGTCTACTGAACTACAAATGCAAATGGAATTTATCTTTTATGTTTATACTCTTGTGTAATGACTTATGTCCAGGGTATTTAGTGCAGCATTGCATTTAAAAAAAGAACAAAAGTATAATTAGGAGATAGGTTAAACTGCAAAGCTTCCATATAGTGAAATAACATGTAGCTCTAAAAAGGCAAGTATTCTTTATTATGATAAGCTCCTCAAGATACATTTAATGAAAAAGAAAAAGTTCAAGACACTGAGTATATACTAACTTTTGAGCAAAATAAAGGGAAATCTAAATATCTCTTTGTAGATGCATAAAGAAACTATGGGAGAATATGCTGAGAAACCTAAGTGGCTCTCTATCATGAGGGGAAGGTGATAGGAATTGTAGGGAATAGATTTAAATGAGATTCTTCACTGTATCTTTTCTGTGTTTGTTTTCAGAACCATATAAATTGTAATTTGTTAAAAATTAAGGTAGAAATTTCCTTGTAATTGTCAATTATAGCTTTTTCATTTATAAGATGGTTTGTTCTACTGTATGTTTTAGTTCATCTCATTTTTCTAAGATAGGTCTTAGGTGAAAAAGTGAATGTTTAGAAAGTGTAAAGCTTAGAAATTGACTCTTAACTGCAAATCCAGCATTATCTCAAGTTCCAGATGTTGAATGGGGCTTCACCATCCATTCATTAGCTCCACAAGCCATCTTTTTGAATGTAGGTAAAGGTCAGAAGTTCAGAATTTATTTCTACATGTTGCAGAGATTTCATGGAGATGGGGAAGATATCTCAAATTTTCAACCTGTTTTACAGAACATGCAAACATCTCCATTTATCAGTGGTCTTCAAACTATAGATTTCTTCTGTTCTTCTCTGGGGAACTTCTTACATGACAAGGGCATCTGGTCATGTTCAGCGAAAACCTATATACCTAGTAAGGACAGGAATACAGAGTTAGGATATTAACATAGGAGCACTGTGTCAAGAATGGACACAAACAGACCCCCTAAACCAGAGAATTAAAGAATTGAAGAGGGAGAGGGTGTTAACACCAGGGCTTGAATGAGAGTGAGAGAGCAGGTTGGGGGGTAGATAGAAGGAAGTCAGGATTTCAGTAGTCCTGGTTGAGAAAACATCCCCGCCCCCCCCACCCAATGAAGGAACAATCACAGCTGCTGTGTTTTCTCCTTTCCCTTTTCTCAGTTCCCTTTCCTCTTACCCTTTTTAGTGATGGAAAAGATCAGGAAGTATTACTCCAAGTGGCTGGGGGGAAAAAGTGAACACCAGAAAATAAGAAAATATGTGAAGCCCCAGGCAGCAAAACAGCTTGGTAGGTGTAAGGAAAGCTGCAGAGGCATCTGAGGCTCAGCACCCACTAAGCAACAGGCTTGAAGCTCTTTACAGCCACTCCCATGGAGGAGGAAGAGCTGCGCCTTTGGATTATGCTCATCCCCGGAAAAGGGGGTCTTTGTTTGCCCGCCCCAGAGGATTGGTCAGTGAGTTAATGACCACACCCCACCCCGCTCCATCACCACAAGCCTTTCCTAGTTTTCTCCCATAACCATTTCCTACCTAACCTCTCTGTACCTCGGCGCTGAGTGCGTCTGGATGACCGTGTTCTGTCCTAACCCCATCGGTGACCGCCTCATCTGGCTCTGGGAAATACCCAGTTATTTCGAACTTACCTAAGGGGGTAAATTCGCAGTCATCAACACAGCCACCTCAGTCTCCGTGCGGCAGCACTCCCTGTGAGCTGACCACTCACCCAATCCCAGGGCGTGTCTCAGGTTGGGTCACGGTCAGTAACTGAGTGGGGAGCGATATTTGGGGACCTGACGCCAGGGAGGAGGCGGCGCAGCCCAGCCTGTTGCATCTTGAAGCTATGTTTCCATAGCGCTACAGGGGCTAGTGCGGGACTCTCGTGACACCCCGCCTCCCTCTTTCCCTCAACGCTCCCACCAATCGCCCCCTCCCCCAGTCTTTTTTTTTTTTTTTTGGCTCAGGAAAGAAGAGTGGGGAATGGAGGGAAAATTGGAGAGGACCAAGAGGAAATCGGTGATCCAGCCTCACCTCCTTTTTCAACTGCCAGGAACCATACAGAGCATATTATAGATCCCCAAGGATACATACTAAACTTGTAGGAAGTTCAGCCGTTGGAGACAGCTAGCAGCCTAACAGGCGCAGCCCTAGTTGGGCATACCCTGAACCTCCCCGGAAGAGGGAGCAGGTGAGACGTGGCAGGAAAGCTTGGCTGAATAACTCGCTGAGGACAGGGGCAGGGTCGCCAGGTCTGGAACCACTAGAGCCTTGTGCATAG